TCACTTTTGAATCCATTGCACAGAGACTGGTGAAATAGTGCTCGGATCGCCAAGAAATATGAGACCGCAGCCTCCACTGCCCCCGAGCACTCATCCATCACATGGGCATACTCAGTCACAGGCGTAGTCACGACGGCGGCCTTGACCGCGATGCCGACAAACCCAGCATATCCTACAAGTTCACCACAAGCTCCAGCCCTACTTACTCATCGTCTCGCAATCTCCAAGATAAGGATGCACTTTCAAGCATGCCAGGAACCTCCAGATAAGTGCCTCCCGGTAATTTGGATACTGTTTTTTGCTGAACTTGCCTGCTAATCTCCTGTATTATTGCACTTAATCGTGATATCTTCTGTACTGGTATTACTAACCATGAGTTGCAATACTAGTTTTAATAGTATTAGTGTTATTGCTATCAGTAGTAACTTAGTATTAGTTCCTACACAATTAAGCTTTATTCTTTGCTACTCGTTGCCAGTTGCGGGATTATTATTCTTCTTGCCGTACCTCAATCGAACCTTCAGCCTAGCCTTTGAATATTTTCGCTATAGGCAGCAAATCATTATTAGAGTCTAGGCAATTTCAGTCTTGTTATTTGTTGTTTGGTGTCGTTTTTGGCCTATTGCTCTATTGATTATTGTTTCGCTGAATTTGCCTATCAACCACGTTCATTTCTGTATTCTTTTTACGGTGTCTGATCCATTTTGTGCGCTCTGCAGCTGCTATGACACCTGACAGCCGGTCGGCACTAAGTAGCGCGGAGCAACTCAATAATCGATATCGTGACTGTTCCACGCTCCTTGCCTAGCATGTACTCCTAGTGTAATATAGGCGGTAGTCAGAGCACGGGGTGAACTGACGCTGTAAGAGCGGCCTTCCTAGTGTCCCATGTCTTTGCTGGTAATGCCCTTCTGCCTGTATCCTAGCCGCCTCGCTGTGGAGGCTCGAGAGGGAGCTCTAATGGCAATATGGACGGACGAGTGGGTCCTCTGACAGATCGGTGTACGCATATCTGCTAATATACAGGGATCCATAGCGTATTTAGCGTATTTAGTCAAAATACCCTTGACAAGTGACATTTAATCACACCCTCTCCTAGCGACTGAACACAACCTTAACAGCGGCTTTGCCCGGCTGTCACTAATGGACAATCGATATCGGAAGACAGCCTGACATATCACCTACTTTACTATACTTTATCCTGACGTCTTCTGTACTGGCACTACTATGTTTACTAGTTTACTATGTTTAATAATACAAACATCAGTATTATTCGAATATTATTTATATCAACAGTAACTTATTACTAGCTCT